GATGACATCCGGGTAATTATGGACAAACGGGAAAATACAGACATGGCTAGATGACATCCGGGTAATTATGGACAAACGGGAAAATACAGACATGGCTAGATGACATCCGGGTAATTATGGACAAACGGGAAAATACAGACATGGCTAGATAACATCGGGGTAATTATGGACAGGCGGGAAAATACGGACATGACTAGATGACATCCGGGTAATTATGGACAAACGGGAAAATACGGACATGGCTAGATGACATCCGGGTAATTGTGGACAAACGGGAAAATAAGGACATGGCTAGATAACATCGGGGTAATTATGGACAGACGGGAAAATACGGACATGGCTAGATGACATCCGGGTAATTATGGACAGACGGGAAAATACGGACATGGCTAGATGATATCCGGGTAATTATGGACAGATGGGAAAATACGGACATGGCTAGATAACATCCGGGTAATTATGGACAGAGGGGAAAATACGGACATGGCCAGATGACATCCGGGTAATTATGGACAGGCGGGAAAATACGGACATGACTAGATGACATCTGGCTAATTATGGACAAACGGGAAAATACGGACATGGCTAGATGACATCCGAGTAATTATGGACAGGCGGGGAAATACCCCCGTTCTTGTATGGATCATTCATAAACCATTACAAAAATACGGACATGGCTAGGTGACATCGGGGTAATTATGGACAGACGGTAAAATACAGACATGGCTAGATTACATCGGGGGAAGTATGGACAGGCGGGGAAATACGGACATGACTAGATAACATCTGGCTAATTATGGACAAACGGGAAAATAAGGACCTGGCTAGATAACATCGGGGTAATTATGGACAGGCGGGGAAATACGGACATGGCCAGACGATATCCGGGTAATTATGGACAGGCGGGAAAATACGACAGTTCTTGTATGAATCATTCATAAACCATTACATATGATTAAATTAAACTCTGTTCATGCTAGACATAGATTGATCTACTAGTATGGATGTTTGTCTGTTGACGGACAGTACCCGGGATATCTCAAAGTCTAAAAATAGCAATGGCATGTATACTAATTAATATTTGTCGTCATGCGAGCACCTTTGCAACATGTCTGGAAACTTGATTTTCGGAAACGATGTCCGAAAAATAAGCTCCGATTCGAAACAACAGTTATGTAACAATTATCTCCACAAAAAACAAATAATACTTAGTATACTTTATATTGTACTCTTACTGTTGTTACTTATATATTTTAAGATTGCAGTAGTTTATCAAAATAAAAATTTGAGCAAGAACTGTTGTATCTGAGGCGTCTGTAATTTCCCCCAGAATTTTATATGGCGTGTAAATACAGATGGTTCTTAGTTGATTAATTATTACTTACAAAGATAACTTTTGACTCCGGTTATCAAGAAAAGACTACATTACGTTGATTTCTGTTAAAAAGTAAACATCTAATATCAGAATTAACACTATTATAATACACCTGAATAGATTGTCAAACTACATTTTGGACTTGCCAATATCACAAAACAACATAGCGGCATGCCAGTGCTCAAAGAATTTTGTTGCAAAAAGTCTGTGACAGGGGAGGTATGTCATAGGTACAAACTGACCGGTACGTTGTATGCCAACAGGATAAGAACATGGACTGAGCAGAACATGTAGCAACCCCTGGCTAAACATTGTGACCAGTTTCTATGGTTTAATTTGGTGAATGCATGATTAGAGTAGCGTGTCCGTAATTACCCTACACATGTCCGTATCTCAACGGATTCCTATATATATTCTGTGTTTTGGTTTATATTTTAGTGTTCATTTTACCGACTAATCAAAAGCATAACTAAAAATGGCAACAGAAAGGGACCTTCATTCTGACAAAACATGTTCATAGATGATATCTATGATAAATCGCACAATGTTGATAAACTGTACCAGGGAGCGTGTATTAGCAGTCATCATTTAAAAAGTGTCCGTATTTCCCCGGATGTCCCCTGGCATTCATAAATAGGAAATTGCACACTGAAACATAAGTACTGGTTACCTCAAATTCTTCATCTGCATAAGGGTCTTCTTCCTTTTCCTTTATGGAGTGTTTTGTTCCTGTATCCTGTTAATGAACAAGGATAAAAAAGCTTTAATTTAAAAATAAAATATATAAAGGGAAATATTGTAAATATAAGTGCCCTGTGTATAAATCTGGAAAGATTTGATGATTGAAAACCTTCCAAAATTGTCAATTATAAGCCATAATCAACATTTTTTTCAAGTAAATTGGAAAATTAGGAAAAACATGGAGAAGGGATGAGATACAATGACCATATAAGATATGGAGTGTTTATAAGGGGTAGGGCATTTATTAAGTTTAATACGGCATTAATTTTTCTACAATTTCCAGACAAATCAATATGAACAACAACATACAAATGTATATCTATTTTTCTTTAAAATGCATGGCTTAAGATATACTAAAATGTGAGAGAAAAAAGAATCCAATGGATGATCAATCTAATTTTTAAAGACAATGATTTTAAAACTACATCACAATAATGTGATTTGTATATGATATATTAAATTCTAATTAAAATATTTCATTAATCAAAATAAATTAATGTTTTTACCATGTCAAAATTGCTCAAACCACAATAGAGAATACACCTATATTTGACTGTAAGAGATTTAATGAAAACGAACGGCTGTGGTAATCAGCTTCATAACATTAGATAATAATGCTGTAATCAAAAGCACAATGAAATAATATAGAAGTTCATTCGTTCAAAAGTCAGTAAATGAATGTGATTAATAATGTGAAAAAGAGACAATTTACACTCATGATAAATATTGTGTCCAATTCGGATGCAACTTGATGGTAACATGGCTCAAAGATGGGTTCTTGCTGATTTAAGGTATTTTAGGTAGTACAACTGACATTTATGTATTTCTTGTAGCCCGAGTTTCCTCTGGCCCTGACACCATACTTAGACATTTTGACAGATAGATATCTAAGTCTGGTGTCAGGGTCAGAGGAAACTCGGGCTATATTTCTTGTTGATATTTATCAAATATTGATATCTAGCATTAGAAGAAATATCATTGCATTTACATATTAAACACAACCTGACCGTCTATAATATAAGCTGACAAGCTACACATGGTTACTTTGTATTGTAAAGGACAGGTCTACTTTCAAATTCAAGGGTTCTCAGCTTTTACCTTGCCTCAATGTGGACAGTCAATAACTATATATCCACAACCATACTCTTTATCTATAAATCAAATAAATAGAGTCCTAAATAAATGAACCATGCATGATAGCGATTTGTCAAAATGTAGCTACATATTTTGAGCTCAAACTAAACTGAAACTTTGTTTTGTTGTTCTAACAATAATCTTCATCATTTTCTTTCACTGAAAGTGTTTATGGAAAGTTTAAAAATTCATTGATGCTTGAAAAAGTAACTGTAATGCTAAATATCTTTCAAATACTTAAGTATGTTGCCAAAGATCAGTGAGAACCCATCTTTAAATGAATGAGTGATGGCTGATATGAAACGTGAGCATTTATATCAGTGAAGAACAGATACAACTGTGATTGGTGTAGTACTTAATTAATCCCATATAAGAGTGGTGTCACTATAACCTAGTCTGGCAAAGAAACTCAGAATCCTGCCACACAGTCAAACACGCACTGAAAATAAAATATCTAAGCAAGAAGCGGTCACCGACAAAATTAATTTTGTGTATATACGACTTCTGTGAGTTTTAAAACTGTATAAGATTTTACGAATTTTCCCCAAAGAAATGGATCATGAAAATACTGTACACATTTTCTTAGAGATTACAGAAAATAATTGACATGATGCATATTCCAAGCTTAAGCCAGACAAAATGCTCAATACTGATCAAGATTACTTTCAGAGTGGACTAGCTTCTGAATTTATGCAGAAATACACTTAAATAGCCAGCCATGGGTCTGAGGGTAATTTAACGTTAGGTGTTAAGCAACAGACAGCAGACCGAGTTCTTGTTCAAAGTAATCAAGGCTTGGGAGAGAGGAAGCTCTCCCAAATGCAGACTAGGATAGTTTTGATCATTACAGGGTAGGTAGGTATACATGTAGGTGACATGTTCAAATAATATTCAGTGCTAGGATCAACTGAGTATCCCTTGTGAAGCCTCACATGACTTACTTTGTGTCGTGCACCTTGTTTAGCGGACTTTCTCTGGAAACCATGACAACGGGGTCAAAGGTAAAGTTAACACAGGTCAGAGGTCACACAGTTTTAGTAATGTATCATGCTTAGATGCACCAGTAAGAAATAACATTATTAAAACATGAAATGATGGAAAATCTTGAAAATGTCAGCATGATGACAGGTTAGACAGGAAAGACAAGAATGGTTGTTTATCTTTTCTGCGTTGTGATTTTGACTTGCTGCTACAAATTTTATAAAAATTCATAAAACTAAAAAGTAATAAATTAGTGACATCTACCTTTGATGACATGAATGTCTTGCAAAATTTATATTACACATTTATTCACTAAGAATTCTGTGTAAGGTTTATCAAATTTCTATAATAGAGTACTTTTATATCATATATTTCAATAATACAATTTCCATTACTGCCATACTTAATGATTTGTTATTTTTCCTCCCACATCTCATCTGAGACTTCGGTAAAAACCTACACTGACATTGTGAATGTAACAAAAATAAATAGATTTTATGAATTATATTTGAAATATTAATATGATAGATATAGACAGGTGGTTCAGAGAAGTTTTCATTTCGGAGATTGTGAAACACAAGATTAGGAGGCGAATATTACTAGGGGATATAGACAGGTAGGCCAGAATGTGGTATACAGAGTTCTATCAATCTCAAAACTTTCTGTATAATAAAATGAAAATTTGATGTTTTTAACTGACTTACATCATCTCTACTTTTCCCATATGAAGACCTGGAAAGAAATAAAAAATAAACTATAATAAAATTTAACTATTACAAAGGATTGCACATCAAAATACTATAGCATGTAAAAATGGCTAATATATCAAGATAGTTTAATTCATAATGCCTGTCAGAAATGGAAACTAAAGAAAACATGACATTTCTCCTGTGAAAATGGTTGGTCCATCATTTGGTAAAACAGTTTGTTTGAAATGTAACACAAACCTAAAGGAATCAACCAAATGATAATTTTTTAACTTAAAAAAAGTCATGAAATAATTTCTTAAAAATGTACCTCTCTTTTGCTTTCCTCTCTTCTCTTTCCTTTTCTTCTTGTTTTCTTCGTCGTCTTTCTTCCTCCTTGAATTTTTTTTGTATATATCAAATAACAGTTACATATCAATCTATCTTAAATGGAGGCCATACAATATAGTACGTGGCCTTTGAAATAACATTATATTCGGAACATTTTATAAATAGAGTAACATCCAAGACAAAAATTGCAACCAATGAATCATATGTATGGATTTCCTTAAGGTATAACAAGATATCAGACCTCTTCTTCCTTTTTTCTTCGTTCCCTCTCTCGGTCACGTTCTCCTTTCTCGCCTCTGTCCTTGTCTTTGTCCTTTCCTTCTTTTTTCTCTCTCCTTTCTCGCCTCTGTCTTTCACGTTCCTCCTAGATGAAGTCAAATTGTCTTACACTGAGTAAGCCTTTTAATCACATTCTGATGTCTTGAAATTTTGTAATATTATCAAGTGATTATTTTTTAAAACCTTGTTTTTTTTTCTATAAAGATGATCCTTAACATCTATATTTATAATTTTTACCTCTTATGAAATAATTTGTACCAAAAAAAGATATAATAATACCCTGGTAACGTCTTCAAAATCTTTTGTCAAAATTGGTACTATTTCCTTTTAGTAAATAATTCTTGCATAGATTACATTGTATGTTTTACCCTGAAAATAACAAAACGATTTAACAAGAACCGCTGACAGTAACGATAAACGGAAACTAACGAAAAACAATTGAAACCAAGTACTCACAATACATGGACAATGACATTCAGGAATTTCAAATTTATTTTTCGTTTTAAGAAAAAAGTAAGCAAATAAAGTAATACAATCATTTACGATTCCTTCTTGAGGCTTTAAAACAAATCATGTATTTTTAAAGTGAATCAAAAGCAAGTTTAATATCAAATAAAAACAGTTGTATTAATAATACAAACCCAAAGTGTGTTGCAAGAAACAAACATTTTTGTAATTAATTTGAACATTTTCATGCAAAACAGCGCACTTGAACAGAGATATAAACCTTGGTAATCTTGTTTATAACTGTGGTCATAATTGTTTTGGTATTACGACTTTTCTTCCATTTCTGTATTTTCAAGACATTAATAAGATAAAATTTAGGCACACAACACAAACACTTTACACTCAAATTGACATTTAAGTAATTATTCAATAGTAAATTACACATTCAAATCAAATGACCAAATAAGATAAAAGAAACATTTTATCACTATATGCAGAAGTTCAATTCCTTTTGTAAGGAGTTTGTAATTAAGACTATGATAAAATACAGTTTAGCACTACTAATTATCCGGACTCACCTCATCGTCCCTCGTTCTGTCTTTGTCTCGTCTCTCCTTCCTTCTGTCATCCTGTGTGGAGATAATAGAGTTAATGTTACCACTATAATGGCAGCAGCACAAAAGGGGGGATGAACAGCCTGTAGTTTCAGAGGAAAAGGAGGAGAGTTGATTTATTTATTCTGCTAACACTCAATATTAGAGTAGGAAAAGTAGTGGCTAGATTTGGTTAATGTGAAAGCAGTAAAACCTTGTTATAGCTAGTGTCACCATTCAACCAGCCAAATGTTGGCATTATAAAGGGGTTTGCAATATATCATGGCATTATAAAGGGGTTTGCAATATATCAAGAAAGACTTACAGTATATACCTTGTTATATTGTCACCATTTGACCTGCCAAACAGTGGCATTATAAAGGGGTTTGCAATATATCATCGCATTATAAAGGGGTTTGCAATATATCAAGAAAGACTTACGGTATATACCTTGTTATATTGTCACCATTTGACCTGCCAAACATTGGCATTTATAAAGGGGTTTGCAATATATCATCGCATTCTAAAGGGGTTTGCAATATATCAAGAAAGACTTATATACCTTGTTATATTGTCACCATTTGACCTGCCAAACATTGGCATTATAAAGGGATTTGCAATATATTAAGGAAGAGTTATAAAAATAGATTAACAAACAAGGAAAATAGGTTATTGATTTAGGCAGTAACCGAGGCTGGAAATCAAACGAAGGCATTATGTCAAGGTTTTATTATACTCAGATATTCAAAATAAATTTCCTAAAGAAAATAATCCTTTCACAGTTATCTAAACGATTGAAAATTAAGGAAAGAATCAGAAAAATTTCCATCAATAGTAGACATTTCACTGAACTATACACTAAAAGAAGTACTGTATGTATACCTAGACATTTTGCTTCCACTGGTAAATTCGCCCAGTTTTTATTTCGACCTTCATATTTGTTTACTATGGTAGGCTGTTAACTAATATTTACTGTTGTGCTAAATCTGCCCTTATTAAATTACGGAGAGCTAAAAACCAAAGGTTAACTGTGGTGAAGATTTTCTGGCATAAATGTCCATTAATTTAAGCTGCCATTCAACATTTCTCATTTGCACTTTCAACCCTGGGGTTAATTCATTATTGCAATCTTCAAGACTTACATCATCTTTTCGTCTATCATCTCGTCGTCTGTCACCATCTCGTCGCTTGTCATCGTTTTTATCTCTGTGATGACGCCTTTCATCATCATCGTCCTTTCGTCGTCTGTCACCATCTCTTTTTTTCTCATCGTCTCTATCACGTCTTTTCTCATCGTCTCTATCTCTGTGATGACGCCTTCCATCCTCATCATCCTTACGTTGTCGTCGTTTGTCACGGTCTTCATCATCCCTGTTTCGTTTATCTTTGTCATCATCAGTACGGTGACGCTTGCGTTTTTCCTCCTCTTCCCGTTTTTGTCGTCGTCTTTCTCTTTCCTCTTCTCTGTCTTTGTCCCTCCTCTTATCTCCATCATTATCATCATCATCTATGGCCAAGCCTTTCTTTCTTTCATCATCTCTTGGTTTCTTTCTGTCATCTTCTGTCTAGGAACAAAACAAAATGTATGGTCTAATTTATTTTTATTTTTTTTGCCTTTATTTTACCTGGTATATAATTTTATTGGGTGAGGCCAAAGCATTCTTGTCAACCGTGATTTTGGAAATCTTCATAGGGTATTTTTCAATACAACATACCTTGATTTTTCCTTCCCGCTTTTCTCTTCTTTCTCTCCTTTGTCTTTCTCTTTCTTCCTAAAAATCAAATGAAAAGTTTATAGAAAAAGTTCTCAAATATATTTTATTTCCGGTATAATAAGATAACAATGACTCTTAGGTACAAAACTTATGCATCTGCTTTAAATATCAATGAACACTACTAACCATTCAATTTTAATAATTATTTTTTTGATATTTAAATTTTAGTTTTGAGTTGGTGACTTTGATCTGAGCAGACACTGAAAAAAAGTCTTCCCTTTATAAATCACATAGGTCCTTTATAACAAAACTAATATTCTGACAAAGAAAGAGGATATCAATCTTTATAACAAAATACAACCGGAAGATCTAATCCTACCCTAACTATAGGATCTGATTAAACAAAGCTTCTAAATATAAGCAATATAAAAAAAATCAACTGTAAGCAAAAGAATAACTTAAATACACAATATCCAGGCGTGCCCTCTCTAGAAAAATCATAGGAACAGCATGCTTGATAGTGTAACACTTATCTGTGTAAGATGAAAAATTAATAAGAAATTGCACATGCACTGTTCTTTAAAAAAAAGGGGGCATAACTCCATATCAATATAAAGTGTATAGATTTCATCTAAGATTTATGTTGTACTTCTGACTGCTGACAGATGGGTGAATTGATCAACAAACATTCTGTTCAAGATTTTCCCTACTCAGCTGTGTTGCGAAGGTGTAAAAAGTTTAGACTTCCAAGAAAAATTAAATATCTAAGGTATACTCTCATACTGAACCTTTGTATCAACTTTGATGAAAATCTGTTAACAAATTGGGTGGGATAGAGTGAGGACAATTAATGAATTGCAATGGATTTTTTACAATATTTGTAGCAATAAAGTAAAACATTGCCCCCCTCCCCCCTAAACTTGCAGGGGTTCAAAAACATATCAAGTAGATTTTGAATAATGGAAAGTATTATCAAATTACAAAATCTCAATCTTCTCATTAAATCAACCTACAGTTTGCTATGCATTAGCTATAAGCAATCTATGTTTACATGTAGGTTATTATAGCCGAAACCTGCATTACATTTGTTCCAGGTATATTTCAGATGTTTTTTGTACAGAACTTCTTTATGTGAATCTTAGATGTCATTGGAAGTTTACAAGATGATATTGGGGAATAACATTTCCAGTCCCGTATGGTTATGCAGGGCCAGTGGATTTTTTCTATGAAGCAAGTTAAAATTTCTACCTACTTGCCAGCTGGGTTGGTGTACAAACCATCAGATAATTACAATGTATCACACATTTAAAAGCAAATATAGGCAAAATAGGCAAAAGAGCAACTGACATTGGTATTTCTTTTTTGCTATATGTATTTCCACTATAGTATAATCTAAGAAACTAGTATCAATACATCAAATCTTAAGTTTTCAAACACTTTGTTAAACTTCTGGGCAAGTGATTTTCAAAAAAAAATGTTTTTGTCTAAGATCATGTATTCTGAAATCATTTTATATACATGTATTATATATCAGGACATTTTACCATGGTAACAAGATCCTAATTGACATGGGAAATCAGTTTAATGTGGAGGACGCTAAAAAAGTAAACTTAACAATTATGAGACAAATTAGAAATTTAAACTAATTATTCTTGTTGGCCAAGATGGAAGCGAGCAGGGGGTTTTAAAATGGGAGAAAATCATAAAAATATCCCAATCTACCCTTGGTAATCAAAATGAAATCTTCTCATCATTCTCATTAATTAACATGTTGATGCAACTTACAAATTAATGGGAGGGATGAAAAGATTTAATTTTAATTAGACTTAGAAAATCCATATGATCAGGATGATGACCATTTTATTTTCAATCCCAGAATTTAGACCTGGTCTTCTTAAAGTGCTCTAACCCCGGTACCATCAGGCCATGGCCATTTAAGAGGCCTAGGACACTATATATATGGAGTATGAATGTTAGTATCAATCACTGCATCATCAATGTAATGTTTAACAACAGGCAATGTTAACAAACAAGGCTGCAATAATACAAAACAGACATCGAAAGGAAAAAGATATAGTTAAAAAATAAATAAATTGGAAAGGAATGTTATGGAGAAAAAAAAATGCTCAATTCTGAAAAGGGCAACTTGGATTAAACCACATCAGGCTCCAGCAGTGTTATAGAAAGTCTATAGCCATCTGCCTTACCTCAGTCAACTGAGACCGGCTTTCTTCCAAGTTGGTTCGCCGTCGATCCTAGTAATTAATATGATCTCTAATCACCATAGCAACGAAGCAATAGTTCCCGTTATCTTGACATTGGCTTGGTATAAATGTATGATTATAATAAATACCTGTCAAAGACAACTATTGGTACCTCAGTATTTATATTAGTCTATACTGTTATTGCATAATTCTGCCCTACCTCCATTTATACATAATATATGACATGAACTAGTGTTACCCATATAAATTATAATTCAATATCAAAAACCATATATGTTTTACGACCAAAATCTCTATATACATGAATTAATACATTTTTATTTTGTTTTCATTGTCTTCACATTCATACACCATTTAGAACTAAACTTAGTAAAGTAAACAAAGTATTTAATATACCCGTAAACCAAAATAAACAATGAAAAAGAATGTTTTTTATAAATAAAAACCATTAGGATCATCATTTCCTATATGATTTTAGAAAGCATGTCTAGCAGATAATTTTTGAGAAAACATACACTGATGCCAACGGCTCTGATAACAAACAAAACTTTACACTCCATCAGAAATCATATGCCGGCTCTGATAACAAACAAAACTTTACACTCCATCAGAAATCATATGCTACAGTATTTTGTTCATACAGATCCGTTTCAGTTTTCATCTGTGTGTTACAGACACTGTCCAAACTATTTTTTCCTTTAGCATGTATCACTGCATTACATTTTCTGCTCATCAGGGTTTTATGCTCCAAAATTTATTTAACACTTTCGGGGTTTTCCAGCATTTGAACAAATTCCTATTTAAAACAGCCCATCACATATCCTACCTCATCTTTGTTTCGGGATCGCCTGTCATCGTCTTTATGGCGTCTTTCTGAAAGTAAAGAAATAAACTTTTGAATTATCTTCACAGAGGTAAACACACAATCACATTAATATTTACTTGTGTTGATCAGGGTTTTTTTTCTTTTTCTTTTCACATAAGTTCCATCAATTCACTTTTTTTGTTATCTTGTCATGATTCAATGTTTTTAATATCTTATGCTGTCCATATGCTTAGATGGAAATCCAACTCATTTACAAATGAACTGCTCAAAATAAAACAAAATTTTATCAATCATACCATCATCATCCCTCTTTTTTCTGTGACGGTCATCGCCATTCATTTCATCCCTGTGTCTGTCTTTCCTCCTTTGTTCCCTATCATCTCTCGGTCTTTTTCCATCATCCTTCTGAAATCATATATCAAATGTTAACAATTATCTTACTTGTACCAATATTACACATCCTTGCATTCTAGATCAACTGCTCATCTCTATCACAAAGTAAAATCTGTTTAAAACGTAATTTGTGCAAATATTATGCATCTTTGCATTACACTGTCTTAAAATAAACTGTTAAAGGCGAACGATACGAACTGTTCTACTGATCATCTTCATCACAAAATAAAATCTAAGTAAGAAGATTGAAATATGAGTAACTAATGTAAAACCTCATTTTTTCCAGAAAGAAATGCAAATTACATTGTAATTAGTATACATGAATACATTAAATTTGAAATTACAAATTTTATGTAATAGCTACTAAGAACAAGCTCAAATGGCGTAAGTTTTAAGCCTCCTTTAAAGTGTTGTTAGGTTGATGTTTTCAGTTGGACATATAAATGCTGGCGCGTCCTTAAATGACCATAGCTGTTAATAGGACGTAAAACTCAAACAAACCAAACCAAACATATAAATGGTTTATACCAATGAAAATGTTATTTTTCAGTGAAGTGTGAGTATATCAAAATGAACAAAACAAACTTTAAACCCAATTTAAACCGAACAAAGCACACAGAAAAATGCCAAGGGAGAGCTAGGGAATATTTCAAGTGAGACAGATTTGGGGTATTTGCACTATAACTTGTATCCGAACAATTCAAACTATCTAGCCAAACCAACTCTATATAAATATCTGTTGAGGGTTTAGTCATTTAACCTTCAGAAAATATTTTCATGTCTTTTATTTTGTCGATGAAGCATAAATCCTGATTAAGCAAAAACAAAAAATCCAATTAAACCTGGTTTAATTGGCTTTAAGAAGTCAAGATAAACACAAATAAGCAGTTTTAGGGAATTATAATAATTAAATTCAACAAATCATTGGCAGAATATGGTTCATAAACAAATATGTGTGAAAAAGTGGCCATAAAATCTTTGACCAGTATGGCAGTAAAAACAACAAACACCTGTGAAGCAATTCTGCCATACTCATCATATTCTACAGAAACTATTTATGGAAAGTCTTGGGAATAATACATTGAACTTTACCATTGTACTATCTAAGTGTCACTGTGTATTCATTTACAAAATGATCAATACACTAGTCACTATATTGCTTACAAGATTAAAAGCATGGAATTAAATCACCACACTCAAGAAATTAAAAACACAACCTTGTTAAGCATAAAAATGGACATCTAGATAGAAATACAGATGAAATTTGTCAAAAACATTAAGCCGGCAAGTGAAAGCATCTTATTAAAAGCAATTAGTTGTTCAACCTATAATTGTTACCAAAGAGATTCAGTTACATCATAACCAAAACTTTATATGTTTAAACAATGAAAAAAATGTAAGAAATAATCAAACCTTGGAGAAACAATCTAATTAGATTAAGCCTAATGTGAGTAAAACAGAATTTGTTCTAAATTATAATTTCATGGTTTGAGTAGACAGGTTCAGAATATGCTCAGTTTTTTACAACTCTCTAAACAGAGTATAATCTTTCAAAATCACCTTTAATGCCTTGCTCAATTCATCAGTAGTCCAAGTATCCTCTTTTGATCGGTTCTGAAAATTCAAAAAAATGTATCTCTACTTTATCATTGCTTGTCTAGATTGATTCCTCATCAATTTATTGAAAGTTCAGGGTTAGACACTAACAATGTTTGTTTGGTAGTCCAGAGGACTAATTGAAAAGATAATCTGGTAGTCACATGAAAATGTAACTACTTCAAGACTTCCTGCAGGCAACACCCCAAAATTAGAATAAGAATAGCATTTAACCATGACAAATTTAAAACTCTCTGTATGCAATATAAACAAATGCTAGTCGTTTCGTTAACAGGTCGTTTCGGTAACAAGTCGTTTGGGGAGGGACGAAGTCATTTGGGGAGTCCCGAAGTTGTTTCGGGACTTAATCAAGTTGTTTTGGGACATATACAGGTTTCAGTTATAAATAACATTTCGCTCCCATTTCATAAAAAGTCATGTAAATAAACAAGTATGGTTTTAGTCTATGACCTGTAATAGCTGTATCACGACCTACCCGTGCTTGGGATCATTATAGTGTTAACAGATTGCTAGTACTTGAGGGGATACCTACCAACATTTACCCAATTGACAATGTGTTGTTTCCTGGTGAAACTAATTTCATTATTAAATACAGATCTAGAGGAACTTATGATATTCCACATCAACTTCTTTCATTACTGATAGGTTAATTCCTTCGTTTGATATTGTATTAATTAGTTTTCAATTCACTTTATTCTCCGTTATTGTTATTGACATTAAGAGACGAATGAGTAACATTGATTCTAACAATGTTTTAAACATTTTATTTTTGCTATATTGAAATTAAATTTCATGAAAGTAAAAACGTGAAACACGTAGAATATATTTAGACATGTGAATCAATTCATCAAATCCAGCAATATAGTTTGAACGATGTTTTCATGTTGTGTATTTGTGTCTGTGTGAATATTATATAAATTTATTCATGTGTTATTAAAATCATGTAATGGTAAATGTATGAAGGGAGAAGGCTATGATAAGTTGTAATAATTTTTATCCAATCAATTGTCTAAATTTAGTTGACATTAAAATACGTTTAAAGAAAAAAGACAGTGGTATCTACAGAAGATAAAAAAAATATGAAAAATCTCGAAACGACTCAAAAAAAGTCCTGAAATGACTTTCGTCTTGTTACCAAAACGACCTGACACCATATAAACATGATGAATAAAAATTCATTGGAATTTTTCCAATAAACCAGCAAACTTAATATATCAACGATTTGGTAATAACGCCATCTTCTGAGAGATGGTAGCCGGGACATAAAGATGATTTTTACATAAAAATAATCTTTTATACCTTTTGTCAAAATGCTAGTGATTTTTGCAAATATTTCTTTTGACGATGTACCTTTTTGACTATTTTGGATAAAACATCAACTGTCTTCTAAGTTAAATCGCCAATCGTAGCCCCCCCCCCCTCCCTTTGAATAATAGTTGTTACATTTCGAGACTGCTACGAAGACACATTTTGCCACAACGTTGGTTTTTTGGTTGTTATCACATCATTTTATACAAATGAAATAAATATATATCGTATTGAACAGGAAAACCATGAAATTTTCTATTTCTTACATTTTTTCACGTCATGCGGCGAAAAATATTGCTACATCAGAAAAGCGCGGGAATGTGTAACATAGTTTTTGACGCCAATTTGTAATGACATCACGCTTGACAACAATACAGAGCGCCATTTTGAATGGGTTTTAATTGCAATTTTGCCGTTTGCTAGTATTATCTGGTAAAATTCCAGACAAAAATTATATTAATTGTGTAGTTTTGTAAAAACGATAATTTATGTTGCAAAGGTTGACAAAACAACCACTTATATTCTGCTGTCACTTCATCTAAACTTGAAACTGAAAAATCTACGCAGAGGATATAATGCACCATTCAGATTGGACAATACTAAGAGTGACATTTTTACTTACGAATATATAATATTTCGTTTATCTTCACTGCATTAAACATGTTTTTATTGAATGGAGAATTCATGATATTTCACTAAAACACTGTACTACATACCGATACCGTAAGGTTTACCATCATATTTTTGTAGACAGTATGCAGCCTCAATTTCCCAGAAGGCTTTCACGCATGGAGAAGCACCGGAAGTGTATAGATAATCTAACAAATTTGTAACATTTCCAATAAAACCGAATACACACCCGAAAATATAATAACAATTAATTATGTTTCAAACTCATCTTGCTGATCTGCGGGATCAAGACACAAGCAATATCATCCTTAACTTTCCTGTTGATTCGAGAGAAAAATACTTGTTTAAACTATATTCTAGTTACCTAGACCATTTTTTAAGATAAACGAATGTAATATGGAGGTGTATGATCCTTTATTTCCTTAGGGAATCATCTGTCATGTTAAATGTGCAAATTGTTAATTATTAGCTAGGATTGGTATTAAGTTGAAAAGATTCCAGATCAATAGATCAGAACTTATCCGCAAACAAGACTCCAAAAATGACAATGCTGTACCAGCTTCACAAACTTTCCAATTTTGGCGATCACATTGTCAAAAACAGCTGTTTGTGTCGTGATAACAGTTAGAAATAGAAAGCAAACGTGAAGAAACGAATATAAAGTGGCCTGTCAAAGAAGTGAAGTAAATGTGAAATATGAACTGAACAGCAGCTCACCCTTTCTGACGGCATCTTCCTGATATTTAATGGTAAAACTGAACTGCTGAGATACGACACGGTTTAAACCTGCAGTGGTTGTGGTATTTTCATCACTAACGCCGCCATTTTCAAGCTCAGGTATGTACCAGAAATGAAACGTTAAACATTACACGACATAATATATCTTATAGAACATTGGTTAAAAAGTCAAATTGTCCTTGGAAATGAAAAGTTGCTTTGCTTCTTTGCCAATTATTTATAAAAAAATATGTATTTTGAAACTTTTATATGTTTCCGTTATTTACGACATGGAAAATTAGACTGTCCTAATAATGAGGGATGATAGCTCCTCGATACACGAAAGGAAAAGAAAAAAAAACAAATGAAAAATAAAATAAAGGAAATAAGGAGATTAAATATCAAATGTTTAAGGGGTTGACTCAACATATTTTTCGCTAGCTAAAAAAACCCTACGGAGAGTATTCGAACACACTACATCTTCTCTCCCCTATCTGAAAATGGACCTGGACCAAGGTCGCCCTGAGCTTCAAGGCTGTCTGCAACAATATTTACAGTGAGGTGTTACAGGCAGTGGCGTACGGTTCAGGCCTGTTAGAAGTTCACCTTTTTTGCCAACAGGATACATTAAGTCAAAATAGTCATGCCAGACGACAAGAAAACCGCTGCAGCAAAGAAGAAGGCAGCTGATGAAACGCAGTTGCTACCGGTTATTCTGCGCTATTTCAAGTTAGCCGGGGTTGCGCTTACTGTGTATGGTTTTGGTTACACACAGTTTAGTCCAAGTTGGATTCTTATAGGGTTAGTTGCTTATGTATGGAAAGAAAAATACACCCAGCGAAGACAACAACAGATAAAGACACAGCAGCTTATAGCGAAAGATGAGGCATCGACAATATTGGCTCGAGTGGAAGACCTGCCATCTTGGGTAAGAAAAACAACAACCCTCCCAAAACAACATCAATGTGTATTACGAGTGTAACAGGTGAAGTGTGAGCCACATACCATGGCCGCAGGGCAGATTCTCCCTATACTAATCTGACAAATTTACCTGAGTAGTAATCATAATAATGATTGGCAGTGAGATGTCTGCGTTGACACCTGTATGGCTACTAGTACTAGATGTTGTAATTGAGGGGCATACCACATACGGAATGCTGTGTATCGGGAGATTTATCATTGTGCAGTCAGGCATGTCCGTAAACTGCTGACATGACCATGAATTCTTCAAGGTTTATACGTATACACCTACACATGTTCCTGCTATCAAATAGATACATGAATGGAGTGTATTGTTAGGAATTTTGATCTTGCGAACCAATAAATTGTAGACATAAGACCTTAAACAAAAATCGTTTGGATTTACAGGTGTGTCATATGTGTACAGGTGTGTACTCAACATCTCGCATTATATACACACATCCGACAGGACTGAAGGATACAGTATCCACATTTTCATTCATTGGCATGATGTTGTAAAACTAAAACTGACTGCTTATATGATGCTTAATTAAAATTTGAAACATATATAGAATTTAGCAGACTTCAGAAAGTGTTGAAAAGCATTACTGTATTTGCAATATATACAGCTAAATTTAGCTACTGTACTAAAGGCTATATAGCAGTAAAAGTAGAGGACTTCGCGAATGTAAACCAAAAAAATAAACTCTAATGATTGGCAAGAAGAAAAAAAGTTTTAAGACCTTTTATAAAGCTATGAATAGCTTGGTCTAAAACAAATGTTCCTTGAACCCACAACAGAAAGTTATGATTTTATGTCATGCAAGTGTAACCTGATGCTACAGAAAGGAATGTCAACAAACAGCTGTTGATCAACAGAAAACAGCTTGTTGAGCAAGCACAAAACCTGATCATGATATCATTAGGGCTACAAAATGAAGTTTTTCTGCTGTTAATAAATAGAAAATTCATACTATGAATGGCATTAAAAAGTAGATTTTAAAAAAGTGCTATCCAGTATGTTTGGGAATAAGACTATACACAATTCATATGTCCATGGCATTACAAAATTACATTCCCTGCAATTGTTACCATACAGGAATTGTTCCTTTTTGACCACACTAAGGGTCAGGAGGGTACATGTATATCCTGTTAGTGTTACATAGTTGATCCTTTTTAAATGGGAATTAGGAATAACAGTACTTGTACATTGATTTAAAAGTACATTACAAAGCAAGNCAAAGCAAGATTTTTTTAACCACCACAGCAAAGCTGGGGGGGGGGGGTTGAAGTACTGGAATTTTTCTGTTTGTCAATGTTTGCCCTTGTTCCCCCAAAGTACAATGCACTGCACTTATATTATGGTTCTTGATATACAGAACCCAATTCATCCAGATGATAAATAATGATATATTGGAGGTAATATTGGAGTTACCTCCCCTATAAATGGAGTAATGCCCCTTCGTTGAAAAAACATGAGTTTGTTGAAAAATATGTTTCACACCACTCTTGTCATATTATAAAGTTGCTGCACTGTCTTAAATGATTCTAATATAACACCTTAATGAGGGGCTATGAGTAAAAAATATATAAAGGTGTGGGGCATGTTTGGCTCATGCAGCGATTTTTTTTCATATTTTGCAACAATGATGCCAGATTGCAGACAGAATTGAAAATGAAGGTTTCAGCTCCCTAGGGTCTTATTTGGCCAAATTAGAGCTCCTTGAAGTATTTCTGACCAGAACATTAAGATATACTTACTGAAGAACCTGAGAAATCACTATTTTAATCTAAAGCTGATTTTTTGTGTTATAATTTAATGCGACTGTGGGATTTTAAGTATTGAAGTGAACCCCCACCTTCAAGTTACCTCCCCAATTTATGAGGTTATTCCCTATTGTTTAAAATGATGTTAACACTACTTTATTAATACATAATTCAACTTTTTACTGTGTCTACCTCAATCATAAAACAGTAAAAAAAAATGTGTGTTTACAAATGAAGGCATTTTAGTTCTCATTTACTTGGCCCTGGTGCCCTTAATTAGAAAGGATATGGTATATGGTAGAGAAAGACAGCCTAGGTTTATTTCTATAATTTAGATATAGCCAGTCCTAGTACAACATGTATACAGTGATTACAAGGCAGCTATTTATAATTATGACGAATGAACACTCACAGAACAGAGACTAACTCTCTGTTCAAGGTCCAACTAGGAGGGTGATGGTTTATAATTAGATACTTCACTATGTTTTATAATTTAAACATAGCGTTAACATAAAGGACAAAACATAAACCTATACATTAATGTGTACACATATTTATTGAATTATCAACATGAGCCCAGGTAGCCTTGATGTTTTAATTCATCCGATAATATTTTATGGTTGGAATATTGATTGGTTATTTACATCAGTCAACTAAACATTGTAAATTTATGCAACATGAAAAGAATTGTTTGAATTCACTATAAATGCTAATTATGGAATATACTAGCACTGCTTCTAAGGTTACATATCACTCATTGTATAGAGTCTGAGACAAAGCTCAAGCATTTAGCTTAGGTACATATATTGTACATCCTAGGTCTGCTGTCATGATAAGTAATGAACATGTGTATTGAATTGTAACAAAAAGCTTACAAAAAATGCAGAATTGATTAGTGAGGAAAGAGTTTCCTTTGAATATAAACAAGTATACATATCATCACTATCAGCTGGTATGTTTTTCCTGACCAGTTTCCGGTTAAATTAGACAATGCCTGTATAGATTTTATAGATATCATGTTTAATTTAGTGCAGTTCACATGCATGTACTTTGAGTGCTTTAAAACGAGTGATGTGACATTCACTGCAATGCATGTAAAAGAAGATCAAACATGCAACACATGCTTCAAATCACTTTGATTTATTGTGTATGACTTGTGGTAAATAATATGTATGACATATTAATGGTATGATAAAGTAATGAAAATTGCCACGTACAGTATATATATACATTGTAATATGTTACATTTTCAAAATATTTTTTGTTTACGGATTTGACCAGGTTTTATATTGTCATGTGGTAGGGGCCTAAGGGGGGAGGGGGGCATGTTTACTTCTGGTTAATGCCAAAAACCTGACAACAACAAAAATGTGATGCGGAGGAACTGGACTGGGTCGAACATCGGCGACCAGGTAGCTCAATTGATAGAGCGTGTGTCTGAAGTTCAGAGTGTCCAGGGTTGGAATACGGGTCTCTATGGAACTTATATTATACAATAGCAAGTTGCTAGGATAAAAAACCTAGGCCTGTATACATGTACATGTGTTGACTGTCACATATGGTACAGTATAATGAATTGCTGAAATACAAAATAGGGTCTGTAGGTAAGATTTACAAAAAAATGTATTTTATTTGTTTTTTTGATTTTGTAACAAATATTTAACAGACATATGCACATGTACTAGAGCAAATTTTAACTTAGGGAAAATTATCCCTCAAAAAAGCCTTGGCTGGCAGAAATCTGTAGAGTCCTAGATCAGATTACCATTTTAATTTAATTACACCTTATCTTGCTCTTGGTCTATTACATGTTGTTTTGTAAGTAGTGCAGTAGTCTGAGTAAATATATATCATGTGCTGACCGTCCATTCAAAATTATTAGCCTTGAATTTTGAAAGCATGCTAGTGTGCATGTATTGATCCTTAATTGTGTAATATACTTTTTGTATTGTCACCCAGGCTGTTGTAAGCAAGGGTTGTGATATAGCTATGTGTGTAGATCTAGATAGAATTGTAATTTAGAAATCTCCTGTTTCTGATCATTTACATTAAGCTTGTATATACTATATAATCAGAAACATGACAATACAAAAAGTATATTACACAATTAATGATCAATACATGCAGACTAGCATGCTTTTCAAATTCAAGGCTAACAATTATAGCCATAAAACATGTATACAGTATAGACAGATATATAATGTATATGCTTGATGCATTACAATCTGTAGGGTCTCAAGCTCAAACACTAATACAAAAAGAAATTCAGTTTTTATTTCAGTACATCACGGAATTAGATTAGATTGTTATCTAAGTCTGTGAGTACATGTAATAATCATATACACAGTTCTATATTTAGAAATTAAACGATTTTATACAAAAAAAAGCAATGAACTGGGTAGATTTATCTTATCTGCATGTGTTATTGCATTGATAAACCAAATCATTAAACACATTTTGTATATATGCAGATTGTGATTTAATATTAACAAGACTTGATCCCAACTACCATATTTAATTTAAAGTGTTTGTGGAAGAGGTGGGAGGGGTAATACTATTAATTCCTAGCTATTTCTACATGTTTTACCAGTCATACCTGTACATTTCACAATTGTCTGATGGCATTTTTAGACTTCAGTTGGTTTAATCTTGGTCATCTGCTTCAATATTTAGCCTGAAAAACATTCTAGATTCATTTGTATATGTAGCTGACTTTGATGAACTGACAAAACAAACATGAAAAGGTAATCAACAAGAATTATGATATGACCTGACTACATACATGACATGTAATTAAGTGCCTGTACATGTTTGCACTTGTATGCTTATAGTCACTCTCCTATAACATATGTACATGTACAATGTGTCATGATTAGTTTGTACCTATAAGTCTTAAGACTTTTGGTGAATAAAGAACTTGAACATGTAGGTATTATAGTGGCCTGAGTTGATTATTTATTTTTTTCATCATAATCCAAATGCTGAGTTACATTTTCCACCATATTATACCAAGATATGTTGATTATATCTATTCTACCAAGTAAAATGTAATGAAACTCTTTTTGTGTCTACCTCAGAGTCCATAGGCCTGTGATAAGCAAGGTGACCTAGATAATCTCAATTGTTTAAATTCAGCTGTTCTTTTTTACCATTTCTGACCCTATATATAATGGCAGTTGCCCTCTTTGGGAAGGAATTATCATTTTCAGCCACAATTTGGACGACAGCTACAGGTGATAAACATTTAACACTGAAGTCATACCAGATACTTATTTCAATCAATCTGATCGACCTATCTATACATGTAGCTCATCAACACATGAAATCAGCATTTGACAGATTTACAAACACTATTTCAAGTCACCTCTGTAGTAAATTCAGCTGAACATTCTGACCGGGAGCTTGACAGGTAATTATAGCTGATTTAGAGGTTAAATAGAAACTTATTTTGGATGTCTGTTAGCAAATATTCAAAAACATACAAAATAGAATATGTGTACCAACGGCTCTCTTGGTTACATTTGTTGGGGAGGTTTTTGCAAAAGCATTGGTCTGTTGGAAAATAAAACGTGCATGGTCTACCATCCAATAATACATGGTGATTAACCAATGAAAAGTGTTGTTACATCAAAGATGTGGTAGCTAGAATTTCCTTTTCAACTTACCAATAACATGAATATTAATGTACCTATATATGCAAAAGAAAGATATGAAAGAAATATCATTATTGTATGATTGAATTAATACCTACACAAGTACAACCTTTATCTGGCCTGCAGCAGGCATGCATTCAGCCCTTCAACAGCTTTGATAAAGTGTGCATATGAAAACAGCCAAAAAAGAATTGAAAACCTTTAATGTGACTACTGTTTAAAATTTTATTTCCTTTATTTTTAGGTGCATTTCCCTGATGTTGAAAGAGCGGAATGGTTTAATAAGGTAAGCTATTGATCAATCTTATTATATATATATAATATTCCAGAATTTTCAATTACATTTGCCCAACATTTTCCCGACGTTCCATAGTTNATATATATATATATATATATATATATATATATATATTGTTACTGATATGCAAAATATAAAAGTGTTTGGAAGGTCCAGATTTTTCAATTACATTTGCCCAACATTTTGCCGACGTTCCATAGACGTTATAATTAGCAGTATATGTTGTGTAATTAGGTCTGTAAAATGAAGTTCAAAGTCGCAGCAAGAGCTCATGAGGTCAAATCATATAGTGTTGTAATGGGTGTGACCTAGGCATTCTGTTCTAAAATGCTGAAATTGTTTTCATGACATATCAGTTCATAGATCTGCATATGCATCATGTACACAGTACCTTGCATACCATTCTTAAGGTCCATATGTAAACTCCAAAATCAAAATTACAGCATTATTGGGGTAAAAAGGTCAAATTGAATAATTGTAGTTTACATAACATATGCATTTTGAAGAAGTTTTTAAGTAACTTCATACTAGATAGATGTCTTCAGGCATTGTTTGGTACATAGATGTCCAGACAGTGTGTGTTACAGAAAGATGTTAAGATATATATATAAAGTGTGTGTAATGTACAATGTGTATATACCACACCCATGTCCAGACCACACTCCAAGGTCAAGATCAGTATGACTGTGGTTTGATTTAGTACCTTATATTAACTGGTATTCTATTTATTAGTTAGTATAGGAACCCTTTTAAATATTCCTTTGCATTTTGACTGCCCAATGTCCAAAATTACGTATCTACATTAATGTAAATACATGTGTTCACTCATTTAATTACAAACAGAAATGTTTAAAATGAAATCTTTCTTACAGTGGTTTAATGTTTACCTAAGAACAGGAAAGTTAATTTAAATCTGCTGATTCATGATCAGCTGAATCATTTGTTATTTTTGCAGCTTTTAGCCCACGCTATTCATATGTATAACCCTCAAGCCACTGTGCATTCACTAGTATTCCCACACATATGGTTACAGTACCTACTAACGTACTCGGCTGTAACATAATGTTCGTGTTGAGCAGCCAAGCATGATAATATCTATAGCTCGTTGAAAGTCTTCAAACAGATGACAATATATTACATATATACAATGTCCGTGTAAGTTTAGATAGTGAAATATGAATAAATTGAAACAGTTGAGTGCCTTTTAACATGTTTTATATATAGCAGTATATACGTCCAAATAATTTAACCTGACCATGCAAAATGAAGTGTCACAATACATATATGTAATACAGCCCTTGTAAAGGGTTGGAATTGACAACCCTCTCAAGTATCTCCAGAAATAACTCAATAAGGCACGGGCCTGTACATAGCTATATAGGGAATACCTGATTTTACTGTCACATTATCATGGCACTAGTTCTGTTGTGTACATAGATAGCGGTTGTGACTATACAGCTTAAAAGTCTGAACAATTTGATGTCTCTGCAAATATTTGCTTGACCTCAGAAATAAGGTCAAATAAAGCTTCAGGGGAAAAAAAAAATCCCAAACATTACATAATACTGGAAACTAAAATGTATTTTTTTCTACCAGAGAATGTTGTGTAATTAAATACAATGTACAATATATATATATATGTTAATGGGACGGAAAACCTGTTAAGTGATTGTGAATCATGACCTTTAACTCATTCATCCCTGAAATTTTCCAACCTTTGCATTGGAAGATCTAGAGTTCAAATGAGTCTTCAGGGGTGAATGAGTTAATATGCAAAAAATGGTTTATGTAAATAGATAGAGAATAATACATGCCTTTTTCCATATCACACCTAGTATCAACCCGAGACTGCAATATCAGCCCAAGGGCCGAAGGCCCGAGGGCTGATATTGGTCGAGGGTTGATACTGGGTGTTATATGGAAAAAGGCGTGTTTTATTCTGTTTATTACATACTTACTAATAAAAACTACTATCTTATGATTTTTTTTTGTTTTTGAAATATTGAAAAACGATTTTTTTTCTCCAAAAGAGGTGTGATATGGGTTTTGCTGGCTGATACAGGTTTTGGGGTGTGATATGGCGGGAGCTGATACAGGTTTTGGGGTGTGATACGGCGAGGGCTGATATGGGTTAGAGCAATTGTGTCATATCGCATTTACAAAAAAGACGTATTTATTAGTAAGTATGTAATAAATCCACATACAAGTAGGTACCTTATAAGGGATGGAGCTTCAACACCAATGAGTCCGTAAATGTTACTTTTGTTAGTTTAGGTTCTGATGACTGTTGGCTTAGCCATCCAAACATGTAAACTACTAAAACTTACATGTATCCTTGGTGCTGATGGTCCATCACTGATCAACTTGTATTTGCGTATACCTTCTTATGGTGTATCTCTACTAGAATACTTCAGTATCCACCTCAGATTCCTCCACCGGTACATCGACCGGCCACTACCCACCGGACGTTAGATCTCCTCGCCTAATATTTGTATTGGTGTACCAATACCTTGATTCATTTCTACAATATATCCACATCATGATATTTGTTTTGTCCAACAGATTCTGGACCAGATCTGGCCCTTCATTGGAGATTATGTGAAGAAACTGCTGATGGACTCCATTCAGGAGAAGATCCAGCAGAGCCATTCCACAGTGGGATCATTCAGGTTCACACAGATCGACCTCGGAGATATTGTAAGTATGGTGATAGGGAAATCCTTTGGATTATGTTTACAATTATAACATGTTTTACAGAAGTTGGTGACCTGAAAGTTGATATTGCATCTTGCATTTTCACAGTTATTCTCACTGTTGATAGCTCAGGAGACCCTGTGCAAATTGTGATCACTGATCTATGAACCTGTGTTTTACAGACAATAATCTGGTAGGCTTAACATATAGCTTTACACTATACAATAAAAATCTTTCATTAGATTTCACAGTTCTCAAGAAAAGGGGTTGGCTTATTACCAGGCAACCCCTCCCAAATGCATGGAAGGAAGGGAAAAGGAAGGTAGACTTATGTGACATTTTATCACTGACTCGTAAAATATGGTATGCATATAGTTAAGTATGATTGATTATTAGGTTTTTCTGTAACATTGGTTTTAAATTACTTTTGCTGCACAAACACAATATAAAACATGTTTCTTTTTCTGTCTCAACCAAACAGCCCCCCAGGATTGGAGGTGTAAAGGTGTACACGGAGAATGTCCGCCGTGATGAGATTTACCTTGACCTTGACATCATGTAAGTGGGTCAAACAAAATCAAACCAGTAAAATACAGTAACCAGTCCACCAGTCTGTAAGAGAATTTGTCAAAAACCTAGTTATATCTGTGTTAATTTAGGGTATCCTACATATAACAAGAATCTGATTGTGAATTACAGTAATCAGGACAGGGTTGAGGAATACTCGGTACATGTACACTGAAAAATAACTTATTATAGTTTAATATTGCTGTACAGTATTTCCTAGGGACTTCTAAAATAGATTTCCTCCTATATAGCTAATTTGTTTACTGTCATGAAAGAAATGATTTAAGCAACTTATTTTTTGGGGGATATTATATAAATGTTATGTACATTTCTGGAGAGAGAAAAAATTGCACATGGTAATATATACAAAACTTGTACATGGTAATGTATACAAAACTTGTACATGGTAATGTATACATACTTGAGAAATGCTACTGAAGAATCAACCACCTTTCTGTTTTAATTTATAAACACAAATTGATCAGGGTGTGTGCTGATGCCATGATCATGTGTCCTCATGTCATTTTGAAACTTGAAATTCGAAAAAGAAGTTTTTGCATCGCCAGTAGCTATTCACATGGCAGAAATACCAAAGAACCTACCACTTGGTTTAAAGGACCCAATTTATGTAGAAGCAATTTAACCTCTGTTGACATCTGTTTAATTGTTACTGTGGTGTGAAATCCATGATTCAGCAGTGTGTACTATTTTGTGTTTACAGCTACAGCAGTGACAGCTTTATCGAGGTCAAGGTCAAGGGCATTACTGCTGGAATAAAAGACCTACAGGTACAGAGCTATGATTTTAAACTTTCTGTTCCATATCAATTCATTTTCCATTTTTTTGTAGCAAAAGTAATAAAGTTTTAGCTCACCAGGAACAAAGTCTCCAAATAGTATGCTAATAGCATACTCATCATAATGGTCCATGTGTGCTCTACAGGCTCTATGCGCCTTTTGTTGGTAATACTATATGATATTGATGTAATGTTAATGCCCTAGACAACATGGAAAACAACTGTCATTAAATCAAATTAAATTAATGGTAAAGTGTTAGTTTCAATCAATTTCTTATGTAGGCAAAATTATCATAATAGGCCTAATTACATTAAAAAATGTAAAATGAAAGTAGGTTCCAATGCTTATTCAAACAGTGATTACGCTAAATTTGTTTATATTAACGTTGATAGTTACGAGGCACACTGAGGGTGATCTTCAAGCCTCTGATTGGTCAGATTCCACTGTTTGGCGGGATGAGCTTTTTCTTCATCAACACCCCGGTAAGCTTTTAATTGTATTATAGTATTATGTATTATACGGTAGGTCTCAAATGTGACACACTAAATATTTAATGCCTTGTTCAGCAAGATATCCAAATATAAAAATATATATAATATATATCTATCCTATTTTCAGCTTAGGATTACCCATAGAGTAATTTGTGTTATGAATACATGTTAAATAACACCAAGTGAGGCTTAAATTGGCTATAGATTTACATTATTTAAATTGTGGCGTCACAACTAGCACAAATTTATGGCAGAAATTTAAAATTCTTTGACTTGTTTCATAAGTCTCATAAGAATTAGAAAATCTTGTAATTATGATAATATAAGATCCTCTGTATCATTCATAGGCCTCTCACTTTAACCTTAATATTTTATTCCATTCCAAGGACATTGACTTCAACCTGACTGGACTTGCCAACTCCCTGGATCTGCCAGGACTCAGGTAATCAAACCATACACTTAACGCTATTCAGTTGATGTGATGTGTGGTGAAAATAGGATTTTGTCTTATGTACTGGTAGTGATATTATGTTGAGCATGTACCAGGTAGTTGCTGTTGAAATAAATGAATAAGGCAAAGCTATAATAATATCCTGTAGACCATCATTCGATAATCTTGAAGTATGATATAATGAAGATAGATTTACTCAACATGCTGGTTATTCAATACAATTGTATTAAATCAAGCTCATCCTAAAATCTGGTTTACCATTTGAAATATTCTCTGACAACTAGAGTATAGTGTTATTCAACCATTGTCTATGTCAGCGCAGCATTCACAGCTGGTTCTAAACGAATTGAAGTATGTGTATTGGTCACTGTCTTATTTTACTACAGTTGAATACAAGTAAACAGTGACACTGACAGTGTCTTGTTTCTTCACTAAGAACACACAGAGTACAGTGTGGCATTGATCCCAACCTGCTGTCCAGGGTTATACAATTCCACTAGCCCAATATCCGGGACTAGTTAATTAGATGTCCCCAGCTAGTGAAAATGTTCAATATTTGCTATAGGTTGCAGTAGAATATTTTTTTCTAAATTTGCCTGCTGTCAGGTTCTCTAAACATGAATCTGTACACTACTGCAGTCTGTATACACATATATGCATGCAGACCAATGGGTTGGGATCTCGGCTACTCCTCTTGGAAAAAAATGGTACGTGTACACTGTGAAAATAAACCCGCTCTCTATATTGTAGTGCTTTTCACATGATATCAAAAGCACTAAATTATGATAAACTCACAATCTTCCTACATGTTTCATTGGGAGCTGAAGTACTAAATCATAATGCATGTAACTTGAAAGTCATTGCTAATGCATGGAAATATGAACTTTCATCGGGAGTGACTTTCATGTCTCCTGTCGTATTATATTTTGCAGCGACATGTTGGATACAATTATTGCTGAACAGATATCCAACATTATGGTGCTACCTAACAGGATTGTTGTTCCCATGGTGCAGGATATCAACCTGATGTTGCTCAGATATCCTCAACCTGATGTAAGTTCTCACAAAGTCAGTCTCATATCCTCAACCTGATGTAAATTCTCACACAATGTCAGTCTCAGATATCCTCAACCTGATGTAAGTTCTCACAAAGTCAGTCTCAGATATCCTCAACTTGATGTAAGTTCTCACACAAAGTCAGTCTCAGATATCGTCAACCTGATGTAAGTTCTCACACAAAGTCAGTCTCAGATATCGTCAACCTGATGTAAGTTCTCACACAAAGTCAGTCTCAGACATCCTCAACCTGATGTAAGTTCTCACAAAGTCAGCCTCAGATATCCTCAACCTGATGTAAGTTCTCACAAAGCCAGCCTCAGATATCCTCAACCTGATGTAAGTTCTCACACAAAGTCAGTCTCAGATATCCTCCACCAGATGTAAGTTCCCACAAAGTCAGTCTCAGATATCCTCAACCTGATGTAAGTTCTCACACAAAGTCAGTCTCAGATATCTTCAACTTGATGTAAGTTCTCACACAAAGTCAGTCACAGATATCCTCAACCTGATATAAGTTCTCACAAAGTTAGTCTCAGATATCCTCGACCTGTTGTTCTCAGATATCCTCAACCTTATGTAAGTTCTCACAAAGTCAATCTCAGATATCCTCAACCTTATGTAAGTTCTCACAAAGTCAGTCTCAGATATCCTCAACCTGATGTAGGTACTCCCACAAAGTTAGTCTCAGATATCCTCGACCTGATGTAAGTACTCATGCAATGTCAGTCTCAGATATCCTCAACCCAATGTAAGTACTCCCACAAAGTCAGTCTCAGATATCCTTGATATTATGTAAGTACTTGCACAAAAGCAATCTCAGATATCCTCAACCTGATGTAAGTACTCGTGCAATGTCAGTCTCAGATATCCTCAACCTGATGTAAGTACTTGTGCAATGTCAGTCTCAGATATCCTCAACCTGATGTAAGTACTCATGCAATGTCAGTCTCAGATATCCCCAACCTGATGTAAGTACTCGTGCAATGTCAGTCTCATATATCCTCGACCTGATGTAAGTACTCCCACAAAGACAGTCTCAGATATCCCCAACCTGATGTAAGTACTTCCATAAAGTCAGTCTCCGATATCCTCGACCTGATGTAAGTTCTCACACAAAGTCAGTCTCAGATATCGTCAACCTGATGTAAGTTCTCACACAAAGTCAGTCTCAGATATCCTCTACCTGATGTAAGTTCTCACACAAAGACAGTCTCAGATATCCCCAACCTGGTGTAAGTAGTTCCACAAAGTCAGTCTCCGATATCCTCGACCTGATGTAAGTTCTCACACAATGTCAGATTCAGATATCCTTGATATGATGTAAGTATTTGCACAAAAGCAATCTCAGATATCCTCAACCTGCTGTAAGTACTCGTGCAATGTCATTCTCAGATATCCTCAACCTGCTGTAAGTACTCGTGCAATGTCAGTCTCATATATCCTCGACCTGATGTAAGTACTCGTGCCATGTCAGTCTCAGATATCCCCAACCTGATGTAAGTTCTCACACAAAGACAGTCTCAGATATCCCCAACCTGATATAAGAACTCGTGCGATGTCAGTCTCAGATATCCCCAACCTGATGTAAGTTCTCACAGAGTCAGTCTCAGATATCCTTGATATTATGTAAGTACTTGCACAAAAGCAATCTCAGATATCCTCAACCTGCTGTAAGTACTCGTGCAATGTCAGTCTCATATATCCTCGACCTGATGTAAGAACTCGTGCAATGTCAGTCTCATATATCCTCGACCTGATGTAAGAACTCGTGCAATGTCAGTCTCATATATCCTCGACCTGATGTAAGTACTTCCATAAAGTCAGTCTCCGATATCCTCGACCTGATGTAAGTACTTCCATAAAGTCAGTCTCCGATATCCTCGACCTGATGTAAGTACTCATGCAATGTCAGTCTCAGATATCCTCAACCTGATGTAATTACTTGTGCAATGTCAGTCTCAGATATCCTCGACCTGATGTAAGTACTCATGCAATGTCAGTCTCAGATATCCTCAACCTGATGTAAGTACTCATGCAATGTCAGTCTCGGATATCCTCAACCTGATGTAAGTACTCACACAATGTCAGTCTCTCAGATATCCTCAACCTGATGTAAGTACTCATGCAATGTCAGTCTCAGATATCCTCCACCTGATGTAGGTACTCACACAATGTCAGTCTCAGATATCTTCAACCTGATGTAAGTACTCACACAAAGTCAGTCTCAGATATCCTCAACCTGATGTAAGTTCTCCCACAAAGTCAGTCTCAGATATCCTCGACCTGTTGTAAGTACTCGCACAAAGTCAGCCTTGGACTTTCTTGACTTGATGTGAGTGCTGGCACAATATCAGCTTGAGGAATCTTATGATATCCCAAATTTGATGCAGCAACTTGCACAGAATCAAACTCAGATATCCTGAGCACTCAAAGACTTAAATATCTACAATCTGATGAAAGATCTGGCACAAAATCTTTGGTATATCTTCAATCTGAGGCAAGTTTTCACCCAACTCAGTCTCATGACTCTAATATTCAAAACATAATGTAAGTACTTGTACTCGCACAAAATCAATTTTATGGGGCTCAGATATTGTCAACCTGATGCTGGTATTCACACAAAACAAAACACTTGCAATGACTATCACCATTTTCCCTTCAAACTATCAAAAATGAAACAATACATCTTCCTTTTGACATTACCTAAAGAGCATACTCATACAAATAGTATTTAATATGTAAGATTCAACAGCCAAGAGAACAAAATTGTCTATTGTAAATGAAGTATGAATTACAACTTATGCTAATAAATCTTGCCATAACTATTTTCTTAATTACAGGGGGTACTGAGGATCCATGTGTTGGGAGCCAAAGATCTTATTAGAGCTGACATTGGATTCGCCAAGAAAGGAAAGTCGGATCCGTATGCTGTTATAAAAGGTACGAAGAAGCTGATTAGTTTGTATATGTAACAGAGGTCATTATTTTTTCAATGCCTCCGTCAGGAGTCGAACCCGGGTCTCTGGCTTATTAGTCTTACGTTCTACCAAAGGATCTAAAGAGAAATTCCCCCCTAGAAGAGTTGGTAGGAAGCAGCTAGTATTTTGCCAGGGTGACATACTCCCCGTCCAGGAAAGAACATTTCCCGAGTTTTCCAGAGGTCATAGCGATCCCTTTGCAAGTATTGCCGAGTATTTTTGTCACATCTCTCGGGTCCCTACGTGGGCACTTATGTAACAGAGGTCATTATTTTTTCAATGCCTCTGCTAGAAGTCGAACCCAGGACCTCTGGCTTACTAGTCTTACGCTCTACAGAATGAGCTAAAGAAAAATTCTCCGTAGCCGAGTCAGTAGGAACCGGCTAGTATTTAACCAGGGTGGCATATATATATTAAAAAATATATGTGTTTTATTCCCACATTTGGAAGTTAGTTGAGATTACTGATACTGCTCTTCATTATTAAAACTGAATAATCCTGGTAGTTATTTACATTTGATGAATTTTGGCAGACAGGGTCGCTAATGTTAATCCCGAAATTAAATAATCAAGTTGTTACAAATGTTTTGGGAAAAAATGTCTTTGTAAATCATTTTATTTCCGTCATCTGCACATATGTATTAAAAAATAGATTGAGGTTTTCTCTATATTAACTATAGAATATATCTACTGTATAAATAATATAAACATATATATCTTAACCTTCATTTATTGTTATAATCAAGTTGCTTACTTTGTTCTGTCATGTTTATTTTCAGTTGGAGCAAAGAAGTTTAAGACCAAAGTCATCAATAACACTATTAACCCAGAGTGGAATGCTGTTTTTGAGGTAGAGTTCTGAGAAACTTTAATATGAAGCCTTAAGGAAAACAAATATTGAATGTGTGTGTAGAAAAATTATGTTTCTGTTTCATTTGTTATATGCCACATGTATATCATTGATTTTAATATATATAAACAAATAAATTAATGACTGCTTTATCATTATTGTTGAAGAAATATACATATCCCTTAAAATCACCTGAAATTCAAATTAAGTTAAAGAAATTAAAGAAATGTCCAACTCCCATCTTTTAATGTCACACTTATAGCAATATCAGTTTTGACGAGTGATATAGATGGTTACAGTAATGTTATTTAATTCTGGCTTTTCCCTCAATGTCAGTGATCATAGACTTTTTCCTGTTACAAGTATATTACATAATCCAAAGCAACACCAAATGTGGATGATTTTATGCACTTCCTATTTGATTATCTGGTGAATAAAAGGATAAATATTCATAAACTATGCATTTAAAGGTTATGTCTAGATTTTAAAGTTAATGCATAAAAATGAAACAAGATCATTTGGGGCCTCATACAGAATATACAAAAAAAAACCGTGTGCACTTATGTGCATAAACTGCTTTCTTATTCCTCAAATACACATACATTGTTATGTTGAGGTGTTTATGTTTGTAAAAGGAATATTTTTTTACAATGATGTGATTATATTCATTCAAAAATAGTGCAGTCCGTGAATTGCTGTTGAGACTGTGGTTTGATTATTTGTAGACAATCATTGACATCAAGGATGGCCAGTACGTTGATATTGAGCTGAAGGACGAGGATCCAGGTAGTAAGGACGATGATTTGGGATGGTGAGGCACACTACATCAATTTTAACATCTAGATAGGGTTTTCAGAATTACTTGTTGGAACATATTTTGTTTTTAAAAAATCATATAATTGAGAACAAGTTCTGACAACATAAAAGGCCCTCTCCTGAGCTTCAGAATAACTTAATTACTTGATTCAGAACTACCCGGAAAGTAAATTAACGTGTCCAAAATGGAAATTCTCTCATTAGAAATGGAATTTCACATACTTTTCTACTTAAATCTTCAATAAAAAGAACAATTCTTTCTTGAAAAAGTATACTATTTGGTATTAAAATAAAAACAAAAACCTGTGTAATTTGCGCAACTATATAATTTGCGCAGGTACTTTTTGAGGCTGAAAATCTGAAAAAAAACTTCTACATAGTTGGAATATGTTGCACACGATGATAATATAATTTTGAAGTAATTTTGTCATTGGAATGTGTATTACCGCACCTTTAACAACCACACAGGTGTAGGTCAATGAGGTCCCATTTTGTATTTATCTTGTTTTGAAATTTGAAATGATATCTGTGCTAAAAAGATATGACAACAATCATTTGAATTACTTATTTTACTTATAAGATATTGTGCTATAGTTTAATAAGCAAATACATCCAACATCATTTAAAAGCAAAGGTAGAAAAATAACAGGAAGTTTTATTAACCAATATGATAATAAGCTATAATAGCAAAAAATGGCAGAAAATAACATATTAAAAAGAAGATATAAACTGCCTTGTTGATTTTGAATAGTGTTGTTGATATTTGTCAGCTGTGGAGGAGCTGTGTGAGTGTTTTATGGAATGATGCAAGCGTTATAACAAAATTCTCTTCTTTTTAATATCATTTATAATACAATGTAATAATAATTTTAAATGTTTTTATTACTAACATTCTCTTTCTTGATATATTCTTAAAAGATCAGTTCTTGTAATTGTCAGATGTATTACATTGTATATTTAAAAACTCTTTATCATTATATAAAAATTATAGGATGAAAAATGTTCCCATTCCATAATACATTTGGATAGCATGAGTATACGTACCACTCTACTACTTCCAAATGCATGCTCTGTCAATATTTCGTAGATAGACAAAAACTTCCATGGTCTTCCTTTCTGAAGTGTATACACGCAAATATATATTATGTAATCACTTCTATGTGCAAATTTATGGTTTACAAAGGGAAGAATGAAGAATATATTGTATTTCTGAATTGTATTCTGAAACTTGCATTTGTCCTCTGAATGCATATATTCATGATCATGAGTTCTCAAAATCGTATATATATATAAAAGCTTGATGAAGCAAGTTTGGATAGTTTTGGTTTTTTATAAGTTTGGTAACAAGAAGTTAAACTCCTTTCACTATACATGATTTTTTTTTATTTATTCTTAATGATTTCTATTTCAACCTGGTTTTACTATCAATATTTAAAACATTTATTCCTGCAGTAAAATGTCAAACCCTTTCGAGTTAAATAGGTGACAGATCGCAACAATCAAGTACAAACATATCCTTATATCACTGGGCACTGGACACTGGAGTAAATTTTCAGAATTAGTTAAATTATTATGAAATTATTTGTGTAGTATTTTGAACAATACTTTCTTTTACTGAATCTCAATGTTGTATTTGCAATGGTACATATGATAATTATTAAATATTGTTTTACCTACTTGTTTACAAAATACGTTTGAGATTATTTAGGGGTCAACATTGTATATAACCAGTCTGGAACTAGACTACAATTTGAGATGGTTGTATTTCTAGGAATCTTTCAAATTGACGTCTTTGTTAAACATTTAATATGTGTGTGTTTTGCAGTGTGAATATCGCTTTAGCCTCTGTGGCAAAGGATGGTATGACAGACTCGGTATGTATAACAATTAAAACTTTTATGAAGTAGATAGTACAAAGTAGAAACAAAGAATGGGTGCTCATAAGTCTATACTTGGGTCTCTTGAAATCTCAATTCATTTTCTCCTGTTTACATGATGCATTGGTTTATCCTCCATATATACTGTTTGAACAACTTTAGGTTGAATTTTGACTAAATTGGCTGTTGAATACACTAATGGGCACCCATTCCTTAATGACAGAGAGCTCCTCTTTTGATAGAAAAAAATTATCTGCTAAAAAAACAAATATCATATGATTTTTCACATTTGGATTATTCTCCTTGATATAATTTGTAGTTTCAGCTTCTTAAATATCAGTATTACAGAGTTAATACGTAGGTAAACTGTAAAAATGAGGAATTAAAAAGGTTTCATCATTCTGATAGATATATAATTCAATTGATCTGAATCCAACATAATGGAAACTGTACTTTCTACTTTTCATCTGAAATGTACAAACTGAATTTTGGGTAATTGCATAGAAATGTATATGGTGCAGATGTATAGTATAAACTTTATTTATTTTACAACAATTATGAAACAAGTTATTAATCACTCTGTATAATTAAGGTGCATATGGTTTACAAATTACCATACAACAGGGTAGAACTAGCTGGTCTAGTTCACAAACTGAGCTATGACTCGATTATAATTGGCTCCCCTGTTTGTGGCATGTGTATTTGTATATGTACAGTGGCTCCCCTATTCAAAGCATATATCAACTTTATATCTACAGTGGCTCCCCCTGGAGGATGTCAAACAAGGCCTGATTCACATTAAGTTGGTGTGGAATTACCTGTCTAAGGACCCGTCGATTCTTGACCATGTAAGTACTCTCCATTCCTGCCTGTCCGTGATTTCCAGTGGTCAGTTCCCCTGGTGGTGTCTAGTCATACCAAATCATTTTAAACAATGCCATTTGATGTTGTAAATTTTGGAGTGGAAGACACCTTTTTACGTTTATTTCAATACCTGTTTTAGTTTTTCTTTTGTCACTATCTAACCGTCAGATGGAAAATGGAAAATAGAAGAAAGAAATTAGTGTTATTGCTACTCAAAGTGACTTATTGAGCATGAACAGTCTGCTACTTTTACAACTCTGTTACTCAATAAATGATCCAATAATATGAATGAATACGAAAAAAGCAAATATTACATGACTTGAAAAATTACTTCTTACACATAAGACATTTATGACAAACCTTAATTATAAGGGACCTAAAAATAAATAGTCCATTACAGAAGAACATGTTCATGACTAATTCTAGGGAACAAATATATAAATAAGTTACAATAAAACAAATTAATAAGAATCCTATGGACTGAAGAAATGCTATTGATGTAATGAATTAATGAGACATTTTTATGTCAAAATACAAAAAGTTTGATCCCTTGGTTACAAACAGGAGGTCACAATAAATCTGATAATACTTTACTTGTATGTACATTGTAATTATATCTAAACCTCTTGTGTGATTTGTCAGTAGTGATAACCATGTTGTATTGATGACATTGCCACACCTAATGCTTTCTGTAGTTTTACAATATTCAACATTTTTTTTTATGTGTTATCTTTCTTACAAAGTAAAATAATATTGTTTCTATATCACTAATTATGCGTGTCTGCAATTTGTAGAAGTGTTGAGGTAATTGTGTGTGTCTTGCTATATAATTGGCATATTGAGAGCTGGTACCTAAGATTCCACTTTTTAACAGGCAAGGATAAAGGCTGAGGTAAACACATAGCAAGCATTTCTCTGCAAGTGGGTTACCCTGGTATACTTACATGTTCATAACCGTTCCCTAGATGATACTCCCATTCCATATTATTAATGACATCGCAATAACATACAAGGAAGTGAACTTTGGGAATTAATTCCAGAAATCAACGTGATTTATATAAAATCTGTCTGCTGTATCACATGTTATAATCAACAGGTGATGGTCGCACCATGTAGAAATAATTCTCATTTTATGAAATTACAATTTATTACGGTAGTTACAATTTCAAAGTTTCTATGAAAAATAGTATTGAGGCAGTGAAAGAGATGAGGCCAATGCTTATTTCATTTGGGCAGATTCAGCATCAAAACATCCAATTAGAGTTTGATGTAATGGGTAGACAGAGAGAATAGGAACCATCAAAATACTAGAAAAATAATAAATTCTTCATTAAGTGCTGCAACTCTCCTGTTTCCACTATATATTGTATATTCGTTGACTGTTTTTAAGGAAAGAAAATCTATAATGCCTTTTGAAATTTAATATTTAAATATTAGATGGTCATTAATTTGTCTTACCTATAGTTTATGATTTATACTCAGGAATGAAGGGACTACTGTGTGTTAGAAGTGTAACAATAGGATTGTCGAAAGTGTACTAAATGTTATGTGATTAAGTCTTTGTTCCTTTCCCAGATTAAACTAAGCCGAGTGCATTTATGTTTTATTTTACCAGACTTACCACATTCAATCATCATTTTTTTTTACTTTTTAACTATCAATAATTTGTTAAATGCATGTCTAATGAATTCTGATGTTAATGGTTGGTTATTGTCTATCAGTCAAAAAATGTTGCCTCCCCTGGAAAGGCATGTTGGAACTTGAAGAGTAAATTTATTTTAAATAAAAAAGAGACTGTCTTGATCGTCCTTGGGTTTTGAATCTCTAACCTGCATTTAATTATAGAGTTGATTACAAAATAAATTTACACATCAAATATTGTCATAAAATAATGTTCAAAAATTCAGTTTATAGGTTGAATCCAAGCACCTGTGAACAAGTTGTATAATGTAATCCTGTTGTAATTTAACTATCAACAGGCCAATTAATATTGTTACATTACTAAATACATAAATTTAGATATACGGATACATCATGAGGATGTTGTGTCGCATAAATTTACACCTTCATAACCTTTCTGAGAAGAACGATTTATTAATAACAGATCCTTAAAGTTGATATTATTTAAATTTGCTACTCTTTTATGGATTTATCAATCCATCGACTTAATTGATATTACATAATAACTGTTACTTAAGAAAATTAACATTCTGAATGTTGCACATTGGGATAAAGGCTAACAATTTTGTCCTTGTGTAACCTACCGGAGGTAATACGAGGCCCACCTCAATGCTAAACTGACTTACACAATAGAATGCTTTAGTGTTTATTATTTTGTATAGAATGCTTTTGTAACTCTTTTTATTTGTTTTTTGACGTTTCACATGTTACTGTATGTTTCTGGTAAGTGGATTTGCTGGTTTTCTGTTTTGTTGTAGTTTGGTCCCCTCTTGTCATTTAATGTACTTTGTGTACTGATAAAACGTTCTGCATACATCTTCATGTTCATTGCCATGTGGTAGCTATCGTCAACATCTAATTACAGTTTAATCACATCATCAACATCTCCAAAATTTAACGACATTATCTCATGTCATAAAACGTCATATCTGAAAACATGTATCTCTCGTAAGAAAAATTTAAAATGCTACCACTTTCATGTTTTGGGAATATAATTCTGATTAAATTTACATATATATATTTCAATTAAAGAGTTAATTTTAATAAACATATAGGTTCTATACCATAGTAGTAGACCACCAAGATTTCATCTGCAACATTAGATAACACACAAACTCCAAACAAATATCTCTGATGTATACTGGGTAGTTGGGTTTTTGTTCAAATAAATTTTAATCTTTATGTCAACTAGTGTGTAAAAGTGATTCCTTGATTCAAACTACCGATAGTTTTGAATGTAACACTATGCTTTCATAAATGTGTTTTAATATACAAACAGGAAATATGAAATAAAGAAATCCAACTAAATAAACAATGGGCACTTACTATTTGTGTAAAGAGGAGTCCAGGTTAACAATTGTTTTGTGTTTGTGATGCTATGCACCTGGGTACTTACACAGTGGTATAGGGTAACGCCTGACTTAACTAGTTCCAGGGGCATGCTTACATAGAGCACTGCCCTAGTGTATGGTAAGAGGCATGAGGTGAGGGGAAATAGCTGGGAAAAAGTCTGTGTGTCCTCTAGATCTTCAGTAATGTATATGTAATGCTTACACAGTACAAGACTTGATTTTGTAATTTGTTAAAAAATTAAATAAATAAATGTATCTTAAAGTGGTATATTGTCTGTAAAATTATGTTATATACGTAATTCTCTCTCAGGTAAATTCTGTTATAAATTCACTATTTTATCCAAGATCATTTCATCAGCTTGGCTTACCTCCCTTTATCTATGCACTTATAACATGCTCTTCTACGATTGTACACCACAGCCACCCCATACACAATTCCTATGAATAAGATCTTTTAATCAATTTATAAGTGTCCTTGTATTAACAGTTCAAAATATTTAAATGCTTTACATTAATAGTATTCATTTTAGTGACTTGTAAATTAATAGTTTCAGTATTTAGCCCAGTGTATGGAATTTGTTGATTTCCTGAATTTTTTTATGACATATTTAAACTTGTAAAAGAGTTTTTGTCTGTTTTTGATAACATATTATAGCAATAGAGTAAATTACTGGAAGGAATATTTCATGAAAGTAATAAAACTTTTAAATCATTCAGTATGTTTGTATTTAGTGGTGTGGCTGTAAGCAAAGTTTTTATAATTACTTCATAAAATGGATTTCACAACTCATTGCTGTCTGTTCTAGTGTTCCTCACTGTATTTTACACAGACTAAATATTTCCCAAACATAATCATTTTGGAAATGTCTATCTTAAACATTCTACCAAAATTGGTAAATAAAAACAATTTTACCTGTTCCTTTATAATTCAAATTTCATACTACACAAATGAAAGCCAAGTAATTAACTATGTTTGTGTGAAGTACTTTCTTGCTACATTGGAACATATGACTTATTTCTTCAGGAGTCTGGTTCAGAAAGTCTTGAAATTGTATTAACTTTAAGGATCCCCGTACCACTGCCAAAAACTGTAACTAATAAGTGTTTGCAAACTGTCTTTTCTGGCATGACCAAAGTTTTGATTCATTTCTGAAAAGAAAACCTGACCTTGCAGATCTTCTTTTTATTGAGAAATAACAAAGATGAAATAAACAAAGCAACAACAGTGTTTTTAATGGAAAAAAATAAGCGGGGCTAGACCAGAATTCAAACACTTGATTTCAGATTGTTATACTATAGCTATTATTAATGGAGCTACCTGGTCAACGGAAGTGTCCTTGCCCAACTGTGCTACAGTTATATCTTAACAGAAATTAAGGGAAGATTACTGTGTACAAGAAAAAACACAGTGCAGTGGGACAGGGATCTTTAAAAGATATCAGTTTTAGGAAAAACTATGATGCTGCATCTTTGGCAAAATTACACTGAGATATTTATCATCAAATCTTTGTATTTAGATCAGCAGTATGTGGATTATCATGAACATTTAGTATTATCTTTATAGTACTGAGAAATAAAGACTTGAGCTGTATGACTACCTTAGTTGCTATACAATATATAATCCAGTAGACCAGAGAACTTTCATAAAACAGTGCACTTTCTTAAAGGATGTGTTGTGTTCCACAAAATAACCTAAAAATTAACTCTGATATTTCAGATATAACATATGTGTCTGTTTTCTTTGCCTACTAATTTTGAGAGTTTTTTAAAAATATGTTTGAGTTATTTTATCTGTCTTTTGAGGATCCTTTGCTTATATGAGAGTTTCTAACTATTTGTATTTTTAAATGTCATACAAATTAATACATTTTAAGCTTTTGATTTAAATGTTGATACATGTATTAACTTTCCATAAGTTTATACAGGAGAATATCTGAAAAATTAACACTTAATAATAAATTAATACAGGGTATTCTTCCTTTGAACCAAAATTGACACTTATGTTGACCTATTTTATTTGTCTCATATTGCTGTATTGTGGGTGGTTTATGAATGTTTTTTTGTGTCTCTCCTCAACGAACAGACCTTGCAGCACTTGGAGAAAAATACAGATGGTACAGAGTTATCCTCCTCCCTGCTGATGGTGAACCTGGACTCGGCACGAGAACTCCCGGTATGTAGTAGGATTCACGTTATTGTACAGATCCAATAACTCCCATGGTTCTCTTACACTAATTTTTCAGCCTAAGGATATCTTGGAAACTGATGTCCAAACAATATTAACAAAACTCAAACTAAACCTCAAAAATGTTGGTGTATTAGGCAACTATCTACAACTATCGATATATACTCTTCACATTAAAAATTAAACAAATATGGATTGACACTTGTAAAAAAGCTTTTTCACTTTTTATATTAGTGTACTTTTGTGTCAGAAATCAGTATCTTGAATGATTTTGGAAATGCATAACCTTACTAACTGTTGTACTCTGAATTACATCCATGTATATATGCATGTGCTAATTTTATTATTTTGACTTTCAGTTTCACCTATAATAAATGTATAGATTTTTTTTGAATTTTCATAACTTCAATTTTTAGGTCACCTGAGACAAAGTCTCAAGTGACCTATTGCAATCGCCTTTTGTCCGTCGTCGTCCGTCGTCCGTCGTCCGTCGTGTGTCCATAAACAATTTACACTTTCGACTTCTTCTCCAAAACCCCTGAACCAATTTCAGTGAAATTTTGCAGGGACCTTCCATGGACAAAGGTCAACAAAAACAGTTGCCGGTTTAGTCCTAAGCCCCCAGGGGCCTGAGGGGCGGGGCCAAAAAGGGTCAAATTGACTAAAATTTCAAAAATCTTCTTCTCCAAAACCCCTGAACCAATTTCAATGAAATTTTGCAGGGACCTTCCATGGACAAAGGTCAACAAAAATAGT